ATTTTTAGACAGGAAATCCGCTTCGGTCTCAGGGTTGTGAACCAGCTGGATATGAGTTCCTGGAAAGGGGGCCGGAATGGAATATTGATACCAACAACCTGGATGGATTTGCGCTCCTTTTTCTCGTTTTGACGCTTCTCTGTTTCCTTAAACATGGCCCACCACTACGTATCTGGGATTGATCGAAGAGCGCATGGATGTTTAGATAGTGGCTCATGCACTGATGACTGTAAGGGCGTTGATGTTGGATGAGGCTTCGGTCGCTGCCTCATGATAAAATGGGCGACTTTGAGTTTGAGTATGGAGTAGTGGAAGTAGTCTCGACATGAATTTCCAACCACTTATACTATCGCAACCTTTCATGTGTCGATATCATGAAGCGAGGTGATGTGAAATGGCTTGAACATATTAGGGGTCTGGTGGCTGCATATGTAGGCTTCACAATGTTTCGTTGAACATTGAAACTGCTAACTCTTAACAGTCATCAAATAACAGCAGCTAATAAAGAGAGGCCTTTATACTACCTTCATTTTCCTGCGTTCATGTTTGATGCCCGCAACATTTCCCCATCGACTAAATAAATCTACAAGATCTAAAGAATGGCGACAGGAAGACTAGCAACTGGGTTGAAATGTATTTGCTTAAATGTACCTTTCATTCCGAGGTACTTGCGACTCAAGTCTATCCCCATGGCCCCGTTCAGACAAAAGCCGGCGACAGGAAGATCAAATCCCCCAACTCAACCAGAAAGCAGTAGAAAATTATCTAGATACATTGGCTTTCATATTTCATATTGACCACCAGATCTTTTATCGATGATATCGAGATTTGTTGTGTGGAGTGGCCAAAAGCTGAGCGAGTCAATTATTTTGTTGCATGTATTGGAAAATGAAACGTACATGGCTCAGCTTAGTACTTGGTCGCTGTCAATTATCACAGTTTCCATTGTTGAAATCACATTTGTACCAATGGCATAAATGAGTGTAAACATCGTAGATTATCAATTAACCTCCGGGCCGAACATAGAAGAACTGCCACCAGACATCAATCTTCCCTACATATCCAAAAACATGATCGTAGCTAACATATAACAAACAAGCAGTCTATCCTCGCATGTTTCATATCACCCGAGCATACATATCCAGCCACGGCCTCTCTTAAAGAGCCAGGTAAATTCAAGTCAAAATGCAACTGTGCGTCTGTTCCGTGTTGCTCCATCGTTGCTCCAGGCTCTGCGAAGAGTCGGGCGCTGCAAGCACCTATCCCAAGCATACATACATCAAAAAACAAAACATGATTCAGAGCCAAACAAATGCTATCTCAAAACTCCCTCCAACGCCAAACTTTTTTCCAGGCGCAGTAAAAAAACAAAAAACAGTCGCTATGCTTTCCGGATACGGTTCTTCCGCCATCTTTGGCGGAAACCGTAAGGAGTGAATTCTATAACCGATCGAAATCTCATAAGTCGTCATAAAGGAGTGTCTATCGGGTATCATAGTATGAAGGAATGTCGTTCCTCTGAGAGTGGGTATCATAAGGAGTGTGGAATATAACACGGCACTTCCAAATGCACGTGTTAGTCGAGTGGTAGGGAGTGTCAGCGTCGTTGACGCAGAAGTTTGGGTGTAGCGAGCGTTGAAGGAGTGTGATATACATGGCGCCTGCGTCGTTTTCGGAAAAAGCAGAACATCGAATTAAACCATAACAGTAACAACAGGAGAGGGTGAATCGAAGTCGGACTTGGTATCAGGTGGCTCGGCGTCGGGTATTGTCATCATATTGGTGCATCACAGGGGGTCGTGCCAGAGGAGAAGGTGGGTGTGGGGCCGAGGACATGGACGAGGTATGGCGATGTCGTGGGAGCGGTGCGTTCGACGCGACGGGAGATTCGGGGAGAGGAAGCATGCCGAATTGCTCCGATTTGATATATGGAGATTGGGTGCTCGTCAGGGAAGTCATGTATAGACTCGGGTCCTCTGGAGGCGGGTATGTAGGTGTCGTGTTCATCCTGGGTGGTAACGGTCAATCCCCTAATGTTCTTTGTGTAAATTGAGCCAGTGGTCGTCTCGAGGAGCCTAGATCCACACAGCCTGGACAGGAGTAACGAACCCGACGCCATAGTTTTGAGGGGAGTCCTGAATTGATGAGGATGGCCCGCCTTGTAGAGTGTTCATGTCCCATGATCCATACTCCTCGGTATCGCTGTATGCTACAGAGCCCTCGAAAGTCGAGGATGCTGGGCTGTAAGCCCCATTGTACGCCGGTGAGGGAACACTGAGGTACTGCTGGCTTGGATATGGCGACAAGACCAGAGGGCTCACTGCAGAAGGTGGTCCGGATGCGTTGAGCATAGGCATTTCCTCAGTGCTGTAGCTGAAAGCAGGGTTTCCGTACAGATATGACTCATGGGTGGGCACCTCCTCCTGGATAGTGAAATTGCGAGGATTGAACTGAGGAAAAGAGGGAGTTCTTTCGGGGTGCATCCATCCCATACGCGACCGAAACTGGCTGACTGTGTCGATAGGGAACTCCATTAGAGTCAAGGGAGTTTGCATCTCGCTTCCGACGCCAGAAACGTTGATGGACATGAGTCGTCGAGCAATCTCTTCAACGGGAGAAATAGACAAACTGCCAAAATAGGCGGCGCCAATCTCTGGGAAGAGACGTTCCATAAGAAGAGCCACGGTATACAGATAAGCAATGATGACCAGCGAGTTGGGAGAGCCATGGTAGTTCTGCAGGTAACCCACGGGCATCCAGAAGAGCCATTTGCGGAGAGGCTGGAGACGCTCAAATTGCTGGGCAATGGAGAGCGTAGGGCTAATCTTGCGGGAGCCTCGGAGAAAGCCAATGAGATGCTGAATCTGTGTAGTATCTTCCTTGTGGTACTTGAGGTGTGCCTCGACTTTTTGAATCTGCTCGAGCGTTCGATGGTAGGCATCCAGATCCTCAGGGCGAGGCTGGCTTGGGCGATGATCCTTTCCGGGAGATGGCGGGGCAGTTGGGAACGTGCTGCTCTCGGCGATGAAGTCTCCGAACTGGGACTCATGCTTCCAGGGGTCCATGGCATCGATCACCTATCTGCTGGTCAGTAGAATTCTACTGCTATACTCGGGTCAACTTACGGATGAAGTGCCTTGCATCAACTGGGTCCAGCTGCGCCTGATTATGTTGTTAATTCCCTTCACTAGATATTGAATTTGTGATTCTTACCAGTCCGTGGCCTGCCATGAGAGAACGAGGGAGGCAGCAAGGATAGCATCTGATGTCTCTCGAGAGAAAGACCCAATGGCTTCCTGGAGGCCCTTGAGGGCAATGCCGCGGTGCTCATACGCCATGCTGCCAACTAGAGGGCAGTCGGTGAGGAAAGCAATATGCATAGCAGAGAAAGCGAGCAGAGCGTGCATCACATACGGTGTCGTGGCACCAATTCGAAGAAGACTAGGTCTGAGTCAGTATGTACCAATTTAAGGGTTATGTTTTTCGACGTACGTTGGAATATGGCGAGTCCAAAGGGTGAAATTGTTAGCATCGATGGTAGCGAGTTGGTAGTATAGCGTTGCAACATGGTAGATCAGACGGAGATCTTCAACAGAGTACAGGTGTGGCATTGGGGCAGGGTAGATTCCCAGGCTGGGGAGTGGGAATATGCCTGTCGTTTGCCATTCAGCAATGGCGGCTTCAATTTGGGGCGTCCACATCAGGTCTGGCTTGTCGGGAGTTGTAGAGCGCTCAGCATCAGGAACCTGCACATCGTTGTAGGGGCATCGAATCTTGTGCTTGGTGCAATTTCGGCTTCATTTGTTAGCTTGGGAACAAGAAGTCTTCTTCGAATCACAACTCACCACTGGGGGAAGTTTTCATCGCATCGGATATGGCGGCGCTTGCTGTGAGTAATTGTTAGTGTTGTGCAAAGTCATCATAGATTCATGGGGCATACCAGGTATCACAGCCCTTGCGAGATTTGGTGTGGCTGCGGCGAGGGGGACCACCACCGGGACCAGCCATTTTGCAAAAGTTACAGAGGTATCTGTAAATTAGAACTGTTAAGTGAATAAGTACACGCACAGGTTTTGATGAGGCTCAAGTGACATACACGAAGTGATCCACCAAGACAAGCTTGTGGATTTATAGCGAGTGTTGGAGGGGGACAAGGGCAGCAAGTGATCTACCCAGTCAATCGGTTTCCAGGAACCGATCCAAGGAGTCCGTATTAGAGATAGTTCGCGAATGGAGCCTCGTAATAGACAACAATTCGGCGTAGAACGTCGAGAGGATGTACTCAGGTGCAAGTCGAGGATTCAAACTTATACACGGAGGGCTTCAACAATCTAATGTGACTGAGATGCTCGATGGACTCTACGGGGCAGGAATGATCAAGGCCAGATGAGTTGAAGAGATATCTAAAACCTTGGCCAGTGATGCTGCGTGTTGCGGTAGTTGTCTATATCCAAGTCTTCCAAACGGTTGGTAGCGATCGAATATGGCGGTTAATTGGTTTCCTTCTTTTGAAGAGGAGTTGTGATAGCTTTGGAAGCGACTGTGGGTATGCAGAAGTGAGGATATCAACTGATTGTAGAATCGGAAGCCAAGATGACCATGTAAATGCACTTGAGAAGCTTCGTTTCCAGTTGAACCGGTAGTCGATTATTGACAGATTGAGTTTGAGTCCAGAAGGTTTTGGTGTAAGCCGTGGTCTCTATCTGAGAATTGGTGTCTGCACTTCGTGTTCGTTCCTGATTATATACAATGGGAAACGATTGAATACCCAGAGATATGAGTTGAGAAGCGTATCGTGAAGGAGGATCGTTGTTCCAGAACCAAAGCACCGTGAAATAAAAAGCGAGTGACAGGAGTCGACGAGGACTTCCTAAGAGAGTTGAGAGAGGTGAGGAGGGTGAGGAGGATAGCGAACGTGGTGTTGACTTGTAAAGACGAAGATATTTGTTGTAGATGACCGAAAGGGAATCAAGAGGGGATCCAAGAAGGAGCTGGGGACGATGGCATTGTTAAATACAAGCGGATCTAATCCACAGGGCAGGCAGGTGCGGTGCGGGAGCAGCTCAGATGGGGGAGGGGAGGAGCAACCGGGGTGTAAGAGGTGAGGTGTGTGGGAGTGTAAGGTAAGGTAGGTGCTAGACAGGTAAGGTAAGAGTGGGATGGAAGGAACGGGTGGAAGGCTGTGTAAGGGTACATATCGTGTTGTACTGTACTGTGAAATGCTTGCAATGGATGAAAAGACCAGTAAACTGTAAGAGCAAGGTGAGGTAAGAGCGTGCCATGTGCCATGATGCAGGTGCCAGCAACCTACCAGACAGCAGCGCCAGTGCCAGTTCACCACCAGTCCTAAATGCGTACAGCCCATGGGCACCCACCACCAGCCAGCCTTAGTCTCCCGATTGCCTGTTGTGTTTAAGCCTGAACAGCTTAGTATAGCATAACATCAAAATCACCAACAACTACACTGCACTACACTACGGATACCCGACCTGCCATTCAGAAGCGCAGGAATGAGCCGAGGGAACGTCAAGACAAGCGGCGAGCTCGGCCTCAGACTAGGGGAATTGTGGGCTGTGGAGTGCGGGCCCCGGGACTACGGCAGCGGACAGCAATTGATGAGTCCCAATGAATCGGATGCTGCTTCTTGGCCGTGAACCCCGAGTACAGCTGTGACTCTGTGGTGTCCGCGCCGCTGCCTGCCTGATGGGCAAGTGTGCGATGGTGCGGTGCTGGTGCTGGTCTGGTCTACCAAAAAAAACATAACCCAACCCAAGACGCTAGAGATGGGGTGTGGTCCGGTGCCACAGCTTGGCCAGGGGGGGGGGGGCGTCCTGCAGCCTCATCAGTAATAGGGCCGCTCTTCAAAAGATCCCTGGGCTGGGCATCTGTCATAGTCAAAAAACAAAAAAAAAAAACCATTCATCTGTTTGCGGGTTCTCTAGAGAAAGCGTCGGTCACAGACCATCGACCTTAGTAACACATCTCTTCCATGCCAGATCAGAGGGGCTCAAGGTACCGTAAGGATTGGTCAGGGAGCAGAGGTAGCCTTCTAAGCGGGAGGACTGCGGAGTATGTAGGGGTGCTGAAGCAGCAATTGGAGATGCTTAGGCTAGGCGTCGGTTCGGTAAAGGTATGACGGGTCCATGGTCCATACCTGAAGATAACATCGATCCATACCAGGTGCTTCTGTTGTGCTATTTTGGGGAGCAGGCGATTGGGGATGGTTCATTGGTGGCCGGGCGACCTTGCTGGCTTGTGCTCGTCCCATGGTTCTACACGACCGCCGAGATGGTACTGCCATGCAATGCTTCCCTTTCTTACATGGGCGGAATGTTCCTGAAATCATGAGGTTGAGTCTCGCCGACATGGTGGTGGCGGGTAGAAACCCAGTCCAGCCCAGCCCAGAATGGGCAAATAATAGCAATGAAGCAATAATAATAAATCACAAATACAGCAACCGAATGCGAGTACCTGGTAAAGGAACAACAAGAGATAGTGGCGGACAGTGTCACCTACAGAATGGTGTACCGCAGCGCCCAGTTACCTAAAAATTTTGGCTCTCGACCTCTCAACAGGTGCCTGTTTTGTCATCCAGCTGCAGCAAACACAAGACACTCATCACAATATTGTCGGGTGTCAAAAGACTGCATGCTTTTATATCAGGAAACAAAATAAGCCGACCACATGGACTCTCGAGTTTATTCAGATACGGTTTAATAAGTTTTGTCACCTGGGGCTTTAGTCTTAAATCTTCTGTCATCCTCAATCACAAAAATGGCGGCCGAGCTAGAGGGTGCAAGAAAACTCAGGACCTTAGCCATAGGTGACATAAAGGTTTAGGTAAGCCATTACAAGTTAGGGTGCTTCTCTGCTGGGTTTATTTTGATGTTCTTTGTTAAGGTTAGAAGCTTTCTTGCTCCCTGAAGGGCCGAGATGTGAGCAGAGGGCATGACGCACATGGCCCAGGGTCAAAGGGTTAGGGAGAGTTCCATTGTCTTAGATCGTTGAGACTAGTGTCCGTCCTCCACTTTTCCGCGGTGTCCGGAAGAGAAGCTGAGACCTCTTGAAAGAGACAAAGGAAGAAGAAAGAAGTAAAAACGAGAGAAGACTTCTCTCGGCGTATTGCCAAGGAATTCACAGGTAAGTGGTGACTAAACTGAAAGTCGAACGAGGGGAAGAGAGGGTGACAAAAGCACTGAGTACATAGGTGACAAAGTAAAAATAACTTTCCATGTCCGTGCCCTGTGTAGGTTGTTTTCTCCCTTCAGGCCCAGGGGGGATTTTAGTCGTTGAAAGGTTCAACCACTGCCCGAGTTTCCCTACAGAGAGAGAGGCTGGCTTGCTCGGTGCACTGGACTGTTAGTTAACTACCTTACTGAACGGATATGAAAGTTAGGCTGGGCTGGGCTGTCTGGACTGGGCTACGGTGCCCGTGGACCCCGGTCTACGGCTCAACTTGGCTCAAGTAGCGGATTTGGTTTCCATTCGCTCATGCTGTCCCAGACTCGAGCCGTTGATTGGCTCGTGCGTTTACGACAGGGCGAAACAACATTGGGATTGGGATGGCGGGCGGGCTCTCAGGCGGTGGTAGACGAAGGACGGGGCGTCGGCATCATAGACCAGAGACGGACAAGCCGGGGCCGCCGGTAGTTGAAGCTTTGATCTTAGGTCCCTGCGAGAACCGGGCCATCTCAAATCCAAATCCAGTCCAATTCCATCCGGCCCAAAACATCCAAAGCCATGTTCATAGTAAGGTAGCGGCCAGGCTGGGGTCAAACAAATTGCCTTGCATTGCATTACAAGCGCCATCTCAGTGGCGACATGGCTCCAGAAACGGTACATTTTACGCTGAGGCTCGAGATCAGAATATGGAGAATATCTATAAAAAGTGACAGTCTAACCAGACACAGTATAGCTGTAGATGAGTAACACTGGAACGTTACTTACGGCCCACCGTAAGATAAACGCCGCATGAATGCTTTCACAGTGGCTTCGCTTCGCTATTCGTTTGTTCGTCTGTTTCCAAATCTTTGGCTCGTGTCGCCCTAGGTATCTCATCTTGCAGCTGAGACAGAGCCGCGGGCCGCTCCTACGAGTCGAGTATCTCGTCTCTGCGCCTTTTCGGAGCTGGAAAACATAAGACCATGACGTCGTTGGTCAGTGTTCTGCGTCCGATCATGTAGGTAAGGATCTCAATGTTGCGGTAGTAGTAGCAGTAGCAGTAGCAGTAGCAATTGTAGGCGCAGTCAGTCTAGCTAGGCCTATCTTGACGCCGTCTTACACAACTCTCCGTCAGCATCTCTCATGCTCGCTGTTTTTGCCACCCAAGCACATTCTTCTATCATTCCGTACATGCGTACTTTTGTAGCAGACGAGCTGGAAAGTTACGGTATGACATGTTACTGATAGACATGATCCTCCCGCTCCCAACACTCCTGTGCGGGATTACTTCGGGTATGCTGTAGATCATGTCTTGTCCAGGGTGTCGGCGTATTCGGGCTTCGTCCTCTGGTGTAACGCTCAACCACAGACTTGGGCCTTTCACGGGCTGTCGAGAAACGTATTGCAAATTCATGGTAGAGTTTCGCGCCGCAAGGATAACGACCAAAGATTTAGCTCAAGATACCGAGTGCGACCTGGGCTTTGTATAACTGGAGAAAACAATCTTTCCTGACCGCACAATGAAGCTATTTCTAGCCATGGTATCAATGCTCTGAAACTTCTTTTACAGTAGTAGATCCACAAACGGCAATTCGGGGTAGTACGTCGCCCGATTATATGACGGGTTTACTTCTCTCGAGCATGGCCCTATTACCACGACCAGCCGTTCTAGCCCCAACTTTCATTCATCGCCTGGTCCCTGTTTTGTCAAGGAAGTATTTCTCCGGTTCTGTGGGCAGCGTAGCATCCGCTTCCTGGCCAAGTGGTGCTTTTGTAGTTCAAGTTCGGGACTTGACGATAGTTTGAGAACGACATTTTTTTTAGCATCGGCCCCTTGTCCGTCAACCTCTCGACTATGCCACGACCCCTGCGCGGGACAAGGGCAGGGTAAATAGGAAGATTGGAGGGAGAAGATGACTGATGACATGATGCCTGGGTGTTTTCCAAAAGCAGACTACCGTAGTAACCACGTTTTAAGTCACCTATTGCGTGCGAATCAGAAGCGATTCACGGTTGCATAGCCATCTGACAAGCTAGGTGCACGAATAGGAATTGAGAACCGACCTTGTAAGGCTAGTAGCTTGCCCTTGAGTTTTGTGAAAGGAAAAGCCTGGAATTTACCATGATGGAACTCAAACTTCAGATGACAGAAAGTCAAACCTGACCGAACATGAAATGACGAGTGCCAACACCCAACAGTGTTATCCACTTGGTAAATAACCAGACCATCCCTCAGGTATTCAGTAAAGCACTAAGGTTGTGAGACTTGTCTCAGGGACTCCAGCGGAACCTCTACTGATGATAGACAGAGAAAATGGATAGAATAGGACAAGCAAAAACTGCCTAATCGGGAAACGTCCCGCATGGTCTGCAATGCTATAAGGACAGTGACATATCGAAGGTCGGCGAGGATGAACTCCCTGCCAAAATAGAGCACCAAGACGCTGGGAACTTATCGTGGGTAAGAACTTTGGCCGAAGAACTCTCAGGTGCATGGTTCAAGGGGTTGGGATTCAAAGTAACCTCCCAAGAATCGGTCGTTATTCCCCTTGTTGGCAATTCCCTGCAAAGGGCCCACTCGTGCTTCAGATTGATTAATGCTAACCCTATCTAAAATGCAGAATAGGGAGTTCGCGGCAGTGTTTCAAAGGGCAACCAACGACTGTATGTACTCCATATGATCGACCATCAACATGTGCCTCGGTACTCATGACGGGTCGAAGAAAGTGTCACAGTCTCACCACGGTCAGTCACAAGAGACTTTCTCGCCGTCTGACTGAGAAGTGGTTAATTTGACGACCAACCTTGGATCTCTCTTTCATGCAGCGGCCATGTCATCTAGTTGCTTGTCATTGGCATCCCTGGTCTTGAGTATGGTCAACAGCTCATCAATGCATGACTTGCATGTGTCTATCTAGCTGAAAAGGACTTGAAAAGTCCTTTGGCTTGCAGTTGAGTGTTACACGAGTTAGCGGCTGCCAGATCATATTGAGTTTCGTGCGGGCGCCTTACCATGAGTTGTTTATGAGACAAAAGGCTGTGGCTGTAAGTACTTGATAAGGAAAGGTCAAATGGAGACCATATCTGTTCGGTAGTTTTTAGACCGGCCTCGGCCAAGGGGCTTCTAGAAGCAATCGACGTCTAGCCTGGTAACCCACTCCAGAGTTGCACTGCGGAATGGCACCGCGGAAGAATTTGAATGAGACATTGAACAGAGGCAATGTCTCGCAGTCACAGTCGCAGTCACAAAACATGTTACATATCCAGTCGCGCAGCAGATAGTCTACGCCATTTATGCTTTGGATCTGACCGAGAGCCATTTTAGATTTGAGGCCTTTAAGTTCATGTGCATAGAGGGGCCTACCGGTCAGCTCATCAAGGCAGTGCCTGGGCTGGTGGGGGGGGGAATAGGTAGGTAGGTGTATGCGATTTGCATTAGATTGTACCACTTATTAGAAACATTCACACTTACATTCACCAAAAAGCAGGTACCTATTACCATTGGCATTGGATGTCCAACAAGTACAATTACGGCAATTGCTTGTACTATGACAACCTACCTTACCTAATCGATCCAGGCACCTTCCACGGCTCTGGCGATAATAAAAAAAGCGAAAAGAACGGGTACCAATCTTCAGGATGCCTCGGGGAGGTTGCTTATTGCCCACCACCTTCCCCTCTTCTCTTGAAGCAGTGTCGTCGCATCATCATCACCAACAAAAATATGCATCATTTCGCTTTTCTTCCAGCCACTTAGCTCACCCCTCTTTCACCCTTCCAAAAAGTTCATGAGCACATCAGATCAGCGCATCAGATCATCAGGGGAGCAGCTCTTCGACATCAATCAAAACAGACAAGACCCCGAGACTTTGTCCCAAATCGAGCATGGTCCAAAACAAAGCATCGCAGAACAGCTTGCGGAATGTTACACTTACGGCAATAAAATGATCGACAGGTCCTGGCACCAACTTTCAAGCCACGCCACGATTGGCTTCGTCCGACATTGCTACCTCCCGAAGTCACACATACCTCACGCTCGGGCTCAGCTTCAGTCCAAAGCAAAGCAAGAAAGCAAGAACCCTAAGCAGCATTTGCTCCGGTCTTGGTCCTCTGTTACCAGGCCGCGGTTGTGTACAGAAATCCGAATATTGTTTGTCAATGGTCTAGGAAGTTCCGCCAAGCTACTACATATCTTGTTCTGAGAGCAAACCACACCACTCCCACTCCCCCACCTGAATTCGGGGAACTCAAGCCCCGCCCCGAACGGTGGAACAAGTTGAAAACTATGTATATTCATTCTCTGGACGGAGTATAGTTACCTATCCTTGACGAGGCTGAGAGTCACTGTACCCGTACGCATCTTTCTTGATCGGACACCGGTTCTAGCGGATTGTCAGCTCCCTTCTTCTTCAAGTCCTGGTCCTCCGCCATTAGGTTCCACAGCTGAAACAGAGGCCTTTACTGACTTCGGCCGATGAATTGCAAATCTGTCAGCTAGTCTCCATCTCGGCCGAAAGTCTTACAAGCGCAATCCACCATTGGCTGCGCAATTCAACCACACGACAGTTTCAATGGCGACTTGAAATAAACCACCTAGACCACTAGTTTTCATCCGTGGTTGTCCCCAGATTTTAGGGCTAGCAGGAGCGCTATGAGGTCATGGACCGAGTGATTTATTCTTCACTCCGTCTTAGGGATATCCCCTCTTCCACAACTACCCTGTCGTTCCGACGACTTTCTTGCCCTGGTGGCGGGGTTCAGTGTGGCCTTTTTGATAATAGCGTCCGCGGAACAATATGCTAAGCCGCATATCGTCTCCCGAGATGGAAGATCTAGTATAAGTGCTGGTTGGCCCTGCTACCTAACATGGCACAGATGTGATAAAATTGGGAGCACGGAACTCGTTTCTTGTGAGTCCCTCATTCTGCATCAGCTTTGTGTTTTCAGTGTAGGTACCATATATAACTAAATGTTTTGAGGTAGCAACCTACTGTAGCTCCACAGACTAAAGAGGTCAGTGTGCGCCAGGGTCCCCTGTCCCCTGTTCAGATCTCGCTCAACAATGAAGGTCGTTGGAGCTTCTGTTTGGCTGAAAACACAAACCTCGTGTCCCGAAATGGGATTTCCCCTGGGAAACTCGACCCATGAATGGCAGGGCATTTCGAAAAGTCCATCAAGCATTGACTAAACCGCTTTCCGCTCCAAAGTCCAAACCATTAAACTAGCCTCATTATTAATTACCATACTATGTCTGCAATGGTCGCTCTTGGACATGTTCACGACAAGGAGAGATCAACAACTTCATGGCGCGCCCTGGTCTTGGCTGTTGCTCCAGTCCTTCGCCGGCTACCCCCTGTCACTCAAGACTCAAGATCATCATAAGCGTATGCCTCTCATCTTCCTCTGGCCGCGATGTCATTACCGAATCTGGTCTGGTTGAAGTTTGAAGGGAGGTTGGTCGCTTCTTGAAATAGATCAGGTCTGACTCAACAAGAATCATAGGTACGCGCTGTTTTGTGCCATTCCAGCTGTAGGTTTCAGATCTGTCACCAAGTGTCCGCCGTGGAACGAAGGATGCCACTTGTGTTCACTATTTCAGTTGATTGGGGGTGAGATAGGCGAACAAGGATTCTTAAGCAATCACAACTGATACACCACAACTTTTTTCATTAGCGCACGGAATGACCTCATATCCCATTATAGCAAGCTGCAGTGCGATTTGGGAAGACCGATGCGAAATTTATAAGTGTCTCAAACATTCCAGCTAAGGCTGCACTATGAGAAATAGACAGCGAAAGCGGTGAGGTGCTCACCGTGGAGAGCTTGGTGTTCCTGAAAGCTGAACCTTTGTGCATCGCACCGCCCTTTTAGCCTCTTTGAAAAGGCGCTAATGAAGCATGTTCCGTATAGCTGGGAGGCACGGAAGATCGAGATGCATGCAGACCGACGATCCCTTTGGGATCCATGCCCTACCTAGTATCAGTACAGAGGCAAGAGGGAATATCCATATTAGCTGGTATCACTTCACGATTTCACCCCGAATACCGTCGATAGCCTCAGACACAGGATCCATCTTAAGTATTCCAAAACCAAGGTCTTTTGCCTCGGCTCACAGCCCGCTCAAGGAAATTCGTACCATCACGACCCTGTCGGAGCCGCGGCACTCTCGATTTACCTCAACGGGACAAATATTGGGTCAATGCCAACAGTCCCCACACGGATCCGCAGGTCTGCGAGAATGTGACAGCTTCGGGCGTTCAGACTTGATCAACATCTTAGAGTGAGCTACAATGGGCTCAGACATCTCACCCCATTGCCGATACTCCCCTGACCAGAGTTAGATATTGGTCTTTGCTACGAGCCAAAGAAGATCTTATCCTCGGCAGCTAGTTCATTTACAAGTCCACTGCCTTTTCGGTACAGCAGCCATGTCTGAAGCATGCTTCTGATTTGTTGATACATGGCTACAAGGCTCGTGCCGCAAGATATGCCGCACGATAATAATAGAATGTCGTTCCCGGTCCTGTCCTATGGAGAGGAGCGGCCGTTGACAACCGTAGTGTTTTGATGTCAAACTCACTCGTCAATCTCATACTCCCAAGAATTGAAATCTATTCTGATGTCTGTCTATGTTTTGTTCGAGCTACCACTTCCAACAACTGGTTGGTATATTCTCAGTTCTTGCTTCGATGATGATGATAGGGGGCACACACCCGAGACATGCTCATTAGTCTCGTAATCACCACAGTCTATCTACAAGTAACCCGGTGCTTTGAGCGGCGGTTTGGGTTGACCGCACTTTGAGCCTGTAACACATTGGCTCTGGTATCACAGTCTAAAGTCTCCGGGGTGATACGCGGGAACTCGGGTTCGTAGCATCGAGTTTGTATACTCCAGATCCGATTGCGTGTTCAGTATAGTCAAACGAGACGATCGCTGAAAGCCGATGCTGCTGAGGCCCTCTTGGGCAGTGAGTATCGCAGATCAACATCACTTCTTAGGTTGTCCCATGACCTGCCCCCATTGAAGCTACGTCCCAGCCTGACCTGTTAACTTGAGGATGATACAGCAACGTGGGCTACGAGGCAAGGGCGTGGGCCATTTCCACAATTGCCAGTGTATGACCCAACTACAGAGTACTCATGACAGAGAAGTTGACCTAAAGTCACGACTTCTGGCTCCCGATGATCTGATGTCCCTCCCAAGTTGAATGACCAAAACTTTAGACTGCCGATCACAGCTTGAAGTCGGAAAAGACCGGCCCTATACGGAGTATTGAAAAGGAGAAATTGTAGACAACAACCTGCTTGTTTTGTATCAGATTGTATCCCTATGGTGATGAACATCAACGGGTGCACAATAGTTGAAGGCTATCTATGGGGTAGCTCACTTGCGCGCCAATAGACGAAAAGGACGAGGTTGAAAGAGGCTGATCCCTTGAGCAAGCTAGGTATGCGAATCTGTGTAGGGGCGCCGGCAAACCCGCGCCGCGGGATCAAAGCCGTGAAAAAGATGCAACGCTTGTGGCAGAATATGGACGCAGGGTCAAGCAAGAATGACATATATGGCTGGGCCTCAGCCCTCAGGGTCTTTTGACGGCTAGTAGTAACGTATCATTTGGAGATCTCATTGCTGACTCGGTTACTGAGGCCATCATATCAGGGCGAAGCTAGTGGTGCGGGCTCGAGAGCACATGGCACACGACAGCGCCTGACCAGGAGGTTCCGATGAGAAATGTTTTATTCCAGTCCTTCAATCTCTGCCACTGGCAAGGGGCTAAACCCAAGACCATGGGCCAAGTTTCATCGGCGACGACTGATTGCGCGAATGTTACTGTTGTAGCCAGAAACCCATTCGGGCGCTGGAGATGGCCCACAACAGCTTGGGCTTGGGCTTGGGCTGCGGGCTCTTCTCAAAAGCTCGGACCATGGAGAGCATGTCACCAACAGCCTCGCAAGGTCCCTTTCCTTGTTTCCCACGAGTCGGTTTTTGCCTGTTGATGACCCAGCCACTCGAATGTTGAAGTGACGATGTCCAAAATGCATGCATTTGTTGTTCTAGACCAGGCCATGGCTCACAGCGTCGGACAGGGTTGCCGAATAGGCTAGGGAATAAACCGACAGGGTTCTTTGGTCATAAAGGGCGTCAGAATGGGGGAAATGGATCCCCGGGGCGGACCATGCCATGCATGAGACAGGGGTAGTAGTGCGAGGCTGAGCTATTAATGGCGACACGGGCAGGGGACTATGACATGGTGTCGACAGCTTTTCCAGTCAAGGCCGACGCATCTAGTGCCAAAGCTTAAACGGCACAGCACAACAGCAGCACCAGACCCTGACCCTCTCTCTGATGGTGGTTTCACTGGTGTGAGTTGCCCTCTCATTTACTCTCCTGTTATGGCTTGGTTCGGCTTGGCTTGGAGAGAAGCAGTACAATACATACGTACGCGCGGTTATGGCAGGCCTGGTCATAGTAGACCAGAACAGAATCACAAGACTTGGGTCGTCTTGTACGCCCCTGTCTGGTGGCTTACCTATTATGGCATATTTGTCTTCTGACACGCCAGTAATCAGGAATGACGTTGAGCTAGACTTAGATCTCTGGCTCTGATTATTGGATATCGCGAGCCTTACAAGGACCTTGGCCTTAACCGTGGACCATGCATGCAGGGTCCGGTGAGCCTGCTCCGGTTGCCGAGCACATATTGTCTCCATTACCCATACCATATCAGTACGACGATATCACTGGACGGAATCATACGGATAGTTCCCGAAGCCAGCGGTGACGGCTATATTCTGTGTCCAGACGGGTCGGTGCATCTCTGCTTCACTACTACAGAAGCTTGCCAGAAGAAAGCAAGCCACCAGGATAAATTTAGCTTGTACATGTCTAAGTCGAGGCAATAGACCAAACACCTGTTCTTGACCAAGAGACTTTGCTCTCCCTGCAATGGCCTGCATCTCCTTGCACCTCCCTGCGGCCACGAATCGAAAAGGGGATGGCATACGGGGTGGCTTATCGAGAGTGTATGTCACGATGCACGGAGCTTTCTGGAAGCGGCCATTAATACCCAGCCTTACGAGTCTTGTGATGATGAGACCCGCGTGGTGACTTCACCGTTAGTGTTTCTATACCTCCTCCTGTCGCTGAGTATCATCAGTCAGAGTTTCCCCGGCGTGTAGACACCTCTCACGAGCATCTCACCAATTTCAGAGCAATGATGTTCATGCACGCTACACGAGTCATGGCTGGAGTTCGATTGACACACAAATTGGTTCATTGTAAAATTGCTTCCACTCAACAGATCATGTTTCCAAGTTCATGACTATCTAGCTTCAGTCTAATTATCCTCGGCACACAGTTGGTCTCTTCTGACTGGTGCAGCCGAGTTTGGGCCCTTCGTCTCCGCTATTGAGCTTGAATTTCCCCAGCGTATTCGCAGCGTCTGTATCCTTGCCTGGTTGGGCAAGTATTTCGTCTATACAGAGAGTATTACATATCTTGAGACTATTGATAGACTGGCAGACTAAAAGATCGTCCAAGCTGTTCGGCTCTTAGTACCGACTCGCGTAGCTAGCGAGTTCCTGGGTTAGGTTCGGAATGTCAAAGCACCTCTCCCAACACCTTTTTAATCGAATCAAGTCTTGCAAGAGCTGGTTTCCAGAAACTCTAAGTCTGAAAGCGGAAACTAGAACAGGGGCGATCTTCCGTGTGTTCCTAGTGTTACATACTCCGTACATACATACGTGCGAAACCCCGGCAGTCAAATGCCTCCTCACGACAACTTCGGGGTTTCAAGGGATGATCATTGCTAAGTGGCTACGCGAGTCAAAGGGCATTGGGCATTGTATTGTGGCATTGATGGTGACTCCGCGGTCTTGGCAAATTGTGAGTGTCCAACTTGTCACTGCTGGTTACACCAATACCATCACCGCATAGACAGACGCTGAAGGCCAATGTTAGAGCCCGGCCCATTCACTAACGAGAGCTGTATTTTGTATGGCTCTTTTGTAATTTGCTCAACTAGAGGCGAAATGTTGCTGTTTGCATAGCCTTAGCAGCACATGAGGCGGCTACAGAGTCAGTGCTTGGTCTTTGCTGCCCACGGCCTCGACAGGCAGTTCTCACGATTCATTAATCAACGTAAGACGATACTCATATGCTTGACACGAGGGACGATGCAACGTTTCTTATGCTGTAGCAAGGAACTGATACCGGAATGTTTCTCTCCCTGGTGGTTGTGGTTGGCAATACCTACCCTACAGCATCACTGACTTTGGCGGCAATTCATTAATTGGCAATAAGTTGTAGGTGCTTTGGTTCAATAGACGCAAAACACTATCATCGAGACTTGAAACTTGATTAGATGCCTAACATTCTAATGTGACAAGATGCTATCGAAATAACTCTGGGGTTCAACTACCACGGTGACAATATCTTCCATCTACTGATTTTCCACACTTGAGTGACATAGCTCCAGCTTGCAGCAGCATAATAAAATAGCCTATCTATCTAACTCGGACCCCATAAATGCCCATCAACTCCTCCCATGAATCCGAGTACTTCTATCTACTTGTGGCATAACGTGTTGCCATTCTCCCAGTCCCATTCTCTCAGTTCCAGCTTCCATCAGGTATCTCGTCCTCCTCCCAATGTCGCTCTGCGACCCTCGTCAGTTCATACCATCGTTCAACATCAATCAAAATGGCTCCAAGACTTTTCATGAACCCCCTTGAGCTTCGCCATGCAACCCGTACCATGCTATCTACTGCGATAAAAGAATCAGTGCTATCTATAACTATGTAATAACAACGAACCATCTCCACTGCCACCCTTGAGTCATCCCTTCAAGAAATAAGAAGGCCGAGATCAGTCGCCATCCCATACTACAGAGTGTAATGCGACTCCAAATTTTGTCGGTCTCGTTGCTGCATCTGGCCGACAAAGTTGCTAAACTCGGGAATTATTTGTTTGTAGATATCGATGACCTGAGAAACGTTAGCCTGTGTGATGAAGAAACAATTACAATGCAATAGGCACTGACCTTCTGGAAGACATCATGCAACTCCTGCC